TTTTTTTTATGAAATAAATATCAATAACTAAAAAATAATCTTGTGTCATAGTATGAATTATATATCATCATAAACTTAAAATATAATTCATGTCAAAAAGATATTTATTCTTAATTATTTTAAGTATAATATAATATAATATTTATTTTATAATGTATTATAAATTTTATTTATATAAAATAAATATTTAACATATACATTCTATATGTCGAAATACAGTTATAAATAAATTTTTATCTTATAATCTTATTATAAAGCAATGAACTATTTCAGATATTCCAAATCAAATAGATTATTTAAAATCTCTCTCCACTTAACACCCGATATATAAAACTTATTTCTTATAATAGATTATAATGATAACAACCGATTATAAATCTAGACATCCCTGATATTTTTGCTATCTTGCAGCATGATTTCCATGTTTTCCGCCAAGTTCTTAGGTCATTCGCTTAGTTAGAAAACGTGCCAATTTTCGGACAAGATATATAACTTTGAAGATTTTTTTTTCACTTTTTATAATTGCTTCCTTGGAATGCGCATTCTCTCTTGCTTGGTCGCATGGTGATTCCTCCTTGCCTCTTCACATTAGTTTTATTTTGGAGTGAAATAGAATTAATAAAATACGTTTAGACACTACAATAAATCTACATAGTAACATATAAAAAATATAATACATGTAATAAAAATAAAAATAAATATATATATATATATATATATTACATATAACTACACACAATTTAAAATTGATTTTAAATAAAATTTAATAATATATTTTATATATTATTATAATTTATATTCACATTTTTAATAATATATCAACATATATTATATTTATTATGTAGATAAAAATATTTTTTTAGTAACAATTTATTTGTTATTATACAAGTTATTATTCATTTTTTTTTGTCATCGTTGGATTTGTTTGGTAAAAGTAATTGATAATCTAAAGTTAAAAATAAACAATAATAGTTTAGTTTGGATGCACTTTTAACAAGTTTTTACAGAAAAAAAATTAAAAAATAAAATGAAATTAAAATTAACTTGTGTACAAGTTATAATTTGTATAATCTTTTTTATTTAATTTTGTACACCAATTTTATTTGATTTTATTTAATCTTTTCGAAAATAAACTTAATTTATTATTTATGTTCTTATTTAATTTTTCTCTTATAAGTATTTATTAAAAAGGTTAAAATGTAATAAAATTAATTGACAAATCATCCAAAAATTTGATTTGCTAGGCATGAAAAGGAATATATATTTATTATATATATATATATGTGTGTTTTTTTTAACTCATTTGAATTTATTTACTTGTCAAAAGTTTGTTTCATCAAGTATGAAAAGGTCTTTATTATTAAGTATATTTAGGATTTAAAGCTTAAGATTATCAAATAATTTTTACTCATTTTAAAAAATTTAGATATCAATTATAATTGTTAATAATATATTAATCATAATTTAATTATTTATAAATATTTGAGTAATTATTTGGTATAGAATATTGAATATTTTAGGAGTAAGAATGTAGGTTGAATTTGATGGATCAATACTTGCCTAATTTTAATGGGTTGGGTTGAATAAATAAATTGATTAACATGTCTAATTTGTCCTACCAAATTTGTTAACCTAACGGGTTTAAGCTGTCAACTCAGTGAGTCAACTAATCAAGTTACTTTGTTTTAAAAAGATAAATTTGTAATAGAGTTATGTTAGATCAATATTTTAATTTTATATATTTTAACTTCTTTTTTTAGGTAATTATTCTCATTTTATACAAAATAGAAGTATATTATTTTAATCTCATTTTTTTACTAATATATTTTTATGTATAATTTTGTTTATAGAAATATATATTATTTTATATGTTTTCATGAAAAATAGAATACTTCTAATCAATTTACGAATAATAATAAAATATAAATTAAAATAATAATGTATATTGAAATATTTCAATTAAAAATTATCTTAAAAGTAATTGAATATTATAAGTTGATTAACTTCTCAACTCACCATTTTATAATCTATTAACTTATTAAAATAGGTCAACCCGAAACAAGTTACATTTTTCAACCCATTTCTTTTAATAAATTAACTCACATTGCCTATATTTTTAATAGGTCAGCCCATTCCACTCCATTTTAAGTAAATTAATCTACTTTTATCACTCTTAAAAATTTTATAAATGTGACTTCAATCATAAGCCAGAAAAAGTTAGGTTACCAAAATCAATCTGTCCAGAGGAAGTAAGTTATAACTTCCTTATTCTTTAATGCGAAATATTTACTACTTTAGAACAAAAAAATTTCACCAACTCCTAGAAAAGTAAACCATATACCATCAAGGAGGATCAAGTAAAACCTTAGAAAGATATAATCATTGGGAGACAGAGCCTCCTAATGAGATAAAGCTTGCAGGGTTAGTCTTGCCCCAATTTCTTGGGGGGAGGTAAGTCAAATCCAAAAGAAAAAGCTCTCCAACATCAATCTTAAATCAATTATCCACCGAATTAGATTTGATCTTCAAGAGCGAAATTTGAGGCAAACAAATTACGTTCAACCTTCTAAAACACTAGTTAAATAGAGGTACAATTAACTGAAAATTGGAAACCATGGAAGACAGAATAATGGGGGAAAGATGATGGAAATATCGTGAAATGGTGGTGAAATAGATTCCAACATTTATCTTATAAAATCCTTCAAAAATGAAGTAAAAATGGAAAAAGAAACGGATAGAAAATTAAAAATATGTGAAAATAAGAGTTGGATAATTATAATTAAAGTTCTGCATATATAGCAGTCTTATCCTACCTAGCTCGAGTAAGATTTCTTCTAGTGGTAATCTAGGAAATGAAATTTAAAATAGTAAAAAATATATATGAAGATTTTGTAATTTAAAATTGGATGAGATGATCACTTGTCTCGTAATAACTATCAAAATAATAATCGTCATTTTAAGATAAATAATAAATATAAAAATAATTATTGTGTCAATCTTTTAATCATAGTAATAAGGATTCACAATATTATGAGCGAAATTAGTTTATAACTTAATAAATTTGAATTACTTTGATTTCAATTTCTATTATTCTTAAAATATTTTGTTTGGATGAGTCAATTCAAATTTCTTAAATTTTAAATTGTTAGGTTGAATATGATAATTTTATTCCATCATAGTAAAATTGATTTTAAAAATATATTTATATGTTGAGATTTTTAAATTAAATTTTATAAAAATAAATATTAATCCATTTTTAAATATTTATTAATTTTAAAAATTAATATTAGATAATATTTAATAATTTTAACAATTAATATTAGATAATGTTTAACAATTTTAAAAATATTTTTGAATATCTAATAATTAAAAAAATGAAGAGATAAGATAAAATATATAGGAGAAATAGGAAAAACAAATATGAAGAATTTCAAATTCTCCCATTTTTGGGAGAATTTGAAATTATACTATTTTAAGGAATTTAACAAATGATTAGATTTCAAATTCTTTGTAAATTCCTCATCCAAACAAAGCATTTCACCTCAAAGAATTTGAAATTCTTCAAATAAATGAATTATCCCATATAAATTCCTCATCCAAACACACAATAAGAGAATTTTATAGAGAAAAAAAGTATCATATTACTTAATACATATCATATATTGACCAGTTAAATACATTATTGTTGTCTTTGATTTAATTAATCACGTGTTAACCATAGCAACTATGAGCTAAATGTGATAATCAACGTTGAGAAAATGGAAAACTGAATAAGAAAATGTTTAATTACTTGTATTTTCTAATTTATAAGAATATATTATTGACTGATTGTAAATATAAAATTAAGATTTGTCCATACCAGTACCAAAAAAGCAATGCACTTTACCAAAAAAGAATCTTAAAAATCACACATAATATTTATGATAAATCAGATAGAACCTTTTAATCCATAACTACTTGAATAACAACCATTGTGTGATGAAAATTAGGTAAAGGTAAAAATAGTTCCTTTTTGCCCGAGAATCAAGTGCTAAAGGGAAAAATCATTATAGATGTTTGTACTCTTATGTGACAATATGAATTAGGACAGAAATTTTGCCGCTAACTTTCGTAGACACTCTTTAGTTCGGTCAAAGATTCTTCTTCTTCTTTTGCTAAGCTGTTTAAATCAAATCAATAATTTTTTATTTGCGTTATCACCAGACTGTTATTTACTTAATTTGACATGTTTTATACTAATTTCTGCATCATTGCTGTGTTACCTAGCGTAAAAAATGAATAATAAGTTAGTGGATTATATTTTAAAAAAGAATATATCATATTATATATTATTTAATTACAATATGGAAATAAAAATCTTAAAATTCATTATTTCTTAAGTCAAAGACTTTTTATTTATTTATTTTTTATAATTTGGAGGTTGATATTTCCATTTAATGTGGCGGAGATGAAGTTTGTAGAAAACGGTGATGCCCGTCTTTATCACTCAGTGCACAAATATTTATTTTACTTAAAAACTATAACATTCTTAGTTTTACAGTGCTTAAACGATGAAGTTTGTGTTGCTGCCGAAGGCTAAAACATAATATTAAAAAAATAAAGTACAAAAAGCACCCTATTTATTAAAAAATAAAATACAAATATTTATTCCCTCCATTTTTTTATTATCTTTAAAATCATGCACAAAAATTAAGATAATAATTAGTATTTTAATTTTTTAAAATATTTATTACATATTTTCCTGTTATATCTTTAAGTAGTTAGAAAAAAATAAATATATTAAAAAATAAATAAATATATTATTCAGTAACATATTTTTCTGCTAAAATTAATGTTGGTTCGTACCAATATATGCTTATTAAAAAAAGAATATTGGTCACGCGAATCACGATAATTTAAGAATAATAATAATAATAAAAAAATAGTAGAAATATCCAAAACACTGAATTGAGCTTGTTCTCGAAAAGGAAATGTTTTGGCTCCGATTTTGAGGGTGTGATTCAGCTGCATGGGTTTTAAGTGGTTTCTGAAGCTTACACGAGGATTCCACTTCTTGTTTCTCTTTCTTTTCTTCAAAGTGATACTTGCCACCTCTTCAAACCCTCTCACTTCAACGCACACACACAGCTGTTAACGCGCTGTCCAAACACTTCCCAAAGATTTCGCGGACAGGATTCTCTGTCTCTGTCTCTTGCTTCTCGTCGACGCTACTTCTCAAGGTGTCACACTCGATTAATTTCCCATCCAAACTTGTTCACTCGATTTTCATTTCCTTCGATTTTCTCTCTTCCTCGCTATTTTCAACGCATTCAATTTTCTTAACTAGATATTTTGCTAACGGTACAAGATTAATTCTCTTCCACGCTAAAAATCGTTAGGTTTTGTTTCTTTTGAATTTTGTTTTCATATTAAATTTATGCGCCGTTACTTGAATGTATTTAATTACTGTATTTATCATTGTTTGTTCTACGATTAGAATTCCAAGTTTAACTTCATTCTCGCAATTCTACATTAAATTTTGAGAGAAACCTCTAATTCTAATCGAAGGATTAGTATATGTTTATGTTAAAGTTCAGCATAGGCTTTATGAATTTTTTTTCTTCTAAAATTAAAAGGAGAACAATACGAAGCGTATTTAGAGAATTGCGTGAATTTTTTTCTTGATTTTGTTTTATTTCATGCAATGCGGTTGTTGCATTCGTTTGAACGCTGTGCTCCTCTGTCGAATCTGTTTTCGGCACCTCTGTTTAATGCTTTCTACATATAAAAGTAGAAATTTCGAATGTGAAATCTCCAAAGCGAATTGAGCCTATCCTGTTTCTAATTTGCTTTGGGAATAATTCTTCGCTCTGTTCTCTTTCGCATGCCTAATTTTCTTTTATTGTTATGCCTTTCTTATGAAATACGGATACGTTATTGGCAACTGAGTTGAGTTTGTTATAGAATGCAGTTTTGAAATTGACATTGATACATTTAAATAGCTGTGTTAGGAACTGAATATCGAGTTTGTTTTGGAATGCAGTTTTGTAACCGACACTGAAGGAGCGTATGCCTGGGAATAAGTATAACGGTAACTCGAACGAGCACATTCCAGGCCGTGTGGAACGGCTTGTGAGGGAAAGGGAACTGAGAAAGAATGGGAGGGTGAGTCCCTTGACGGAGGTGAATGAGAATAACAACGGTCGCAGGGTTGAAGGGTTCGAGTACGAGCCTGAACATGTGAAAAGAGAAGAGGGTGCTGTTGATGTTGTTGAAAGGGGTGGTGCGGCGGCGGCGGCGGCGGCGAAGGAGGAAAGGCAAGAGGCCAAGGCGTTCAGACAGAGGCTGCTGGTGGTGGCTAACAGGTTGCCGGTGTCGGCAGTGAGGAAAGGCGAGGATTCGTGGTCGTTGGAGATAAGTGCCGGTGGCCTCGTCAGCGCGCTATTGGGTAAGTGCCCGTCATCTACACCTATATATTAATTCTTTATTGCTTTATATATAATTTTTTTTGAACTATTTTATTCTGAAATTTTTAGATAATAATATAATTTTTTAGATTATTTTATTTTTAAATTTTTAAATAATAAAAAATAATATTAAAAATTAACTCTTCTTACAAATTCAATATCTTAAAATTTAAAGATTAATCATAATATCGGTTGATTTAATATACCTTACTAATTTTTAATAACTTTTAAATAATTATAGAGACATAAACGATAATAGTCATATACTGTTATCAGTTTGTTTCATATTCTGTTGAAAATTCAAATTAGTAAATTCTCAGGAGTTAAACCTTAAAAATCACTCTGGGTTTGACTTGTGGATGTAGGTTATAAAATAAAAAAGGCTTAATGATCTTTTACACCACGAATCAAAAAATTTCTCTATCTGTTTTTATTTTTATTTATTTATTTATTTATTTTTATCTTTATCTAGAGATTTTTTTTTCTTTTATAGTATTATTTTTCTAAATTTTAGAAATAGTGTCAAACTTATTTGAAGTAGACAAAGAAAATAAACAAAAGAAGAATTAATGTATTGATTAAAGAGTGTTAATGTAATATTCTTTTACAACATTTTAGGGATTAATTTTAGAATAGATAAACATAATGACTATGTACAATCTCACAAAACTTTATTGTGTAGTTTACTATAAAAATTCATCCAATTAAAAATTTTGGGTAAAATGTTTTAAATAAATGTGTCACAAAACAAATTTTTGTTCTCTTAATTTTTTATTTATATATTTTTTTATCATTTTAAAGATTTGCTTTAGGTATTTAATTCTTAAATCTAAGTTAATGTTGTCCTTTTAAATCAGTGATTATTTTTTATTTTAGGGCATGATTTTAAACATATCTTAGACCAAATCAAGATATGGTATTTATCTTATTAGATTTACCTAAATAAAAACTTGAGAATTCAAGTAATGTTTGAACTAATTGAAAAGGGTCACAAATATAGTAAAAATTGTATGAAAAATATGTTTCATGAGTAAAAAAAAAGAATATGAAATTAAATTTTTTAGCATTTCAATTGTTGGTGGAACTTACTTTTCATGTAAATTCCACCATACTTGTAACTCATTTTAATTTAAACATTAGTTGAATGTCATAGCTTTTAATCTATTTAGACAAACATATTGAATTAATTTTAAAAAAAAAGTTTAAAATTGTGTCTTAAAAAAAAAATAATCAACATTTTAGAAGGATTATATTAACTCGAATTTAGGATTAAAAAAGACCAAAATAAATCTTTTAAAAAATAAACAATCAAAAACTAGATTTTCCCGAAAAGATAAGGGATCATAAATATGTTTTAGCCTAAAAAGTTATGTGATTTTATTCCTTCTTCACATGTTTTTATTTTCTAAGTCCTTGAAAAGGGTCTAAAATCTCACCATTTTCCCCCTCTCAATTTAGGGAATAATAACATTAAAGTTTTTATAAAGGTTGAAATTATATTTTGAGATATTTTGAAGGACTAAAGGGGTATTTTACCCCGAATATTTTCTCTTCCCAAACGTGTGAATCTTTCCAATGGGTAGCTAAATACATCCCAACATTTTCAAGTGTGGTTGGTGGTATAACTGACTAAATGTAACAGCTTTTTTATTTATTATTTTTTTATGTCTGCTCCCATGGTTTGCTTTTGAAAAGAATAGTTTAGAAAAATGTCTGCATAGCTTATATGAGTGAAATTTACTTTTAGTCTTTTAAATACTTTAAATAACACTTAAAAATAATTATAAGACACTATTTAAACTACTTTAAGAATCATTAATTGTGCACTTTCAAATTAGAGATATTAAAATAGGAAAAAAAAATTAAAGAGACTAAACTGAATTTGAGAAATTTTACAGGACCATGTTTTACCCTTATTAAAATAAGCTGTGAGAAAAGGTCTGATTAAGTTAGTGTATAATAAAGCTACTCTCTTGATCTATTCTAACATGATTTTGTTCTTTAACAAAGGTGTCAAGGAGTTTGAGGCAAGGTGGATAGGTTGGGCCGGTGTGAACGTGCCAGATGAGATTGGACAGAAGGCACTTACTAAAGCCTTGGCTGAAAAGGTACATCGTTAAATAGCTTTTGCAAAATGTACCAAAGACAAACACTATATGTACCCAAAAAAATTGTACAAGTAAAAAAACTAGCTTTTGCAATTATTAAACTGCCACATGTTCCCTTATGTTGGTGTCCACGGTGTATTATAATTAGTAGAAAAAATGTGGTAAATAATTTAAGAGAAATTCTACCTTATCTTTATATATTTAAAGGGTTTTAAAATTATTTTTTAAAAAATATTTAAACATTTAATTTAGAATTATTTGATATTTAAAACATTTATTTTTGCTCATTTCTATATATATTTTCTTAAAATTCTTAATATATATACAAAATGTTTGGATTTAATAAAAATATTTTTGATATATTATGAGTCATGATAAATTGAGAGTTTTTACACTTATGTACAAATTATAAGGAGTAAGTTGAATAAAAAATTTACAAAATCTCCCTCAACTTCAACAAATATAATTTTATTATATTTTTACCAAGTTATTTTGCTTTTTACAAAATGATTTGAAACACTTGGATCAATGTTTGATGAAAAGAAATAGTAATTTAATTATTTAAATCATTTATTTATCAAAAATACATCACTTAGTGTAGAAAAAAAATAAAAATGAAAAGAAAAAAAATCCACACTTTATATCATTTTTATTAGTTTAAAAAAATTGACTATATTAAAAAATCACAATTTTTAAAATTACCATTCTAACTTCCACAATTTATTAAAATTGTTGCGCTCGTCTTGATAACATATCTTCATTGCAGTGGTGTATCCCTGTATTTCTTGATGAAGAGATCGTTCATCAATATTATAATGGCTATTGCAACAACATATTGTGGCCTCTTTTCCATTATCTTGGACTTCCACAAGAAGATCGCCTTGCCACCACACGCAGTTTTCAGTCTCAGTTTGAGGCATATGAGAAAGCAAACGAAATGTTTGCTGATGTTGTGAACAAGCACTATGAAGAGGGTGACATTGTTTGGTGCCATGATTACCATCTTATGTTCCTTCCCAAATGCTTAAAGAAACACAACAAAAAAATGAAAGTTGGATGGTTTCTCCACACCCCTTTTCCATCTTCAGAAATTCACAGGACACTGCCGTCTCGTTCAGAGCTCCTGCATTCGGTTCTTGCTGCTGATTTAGTTGGGTAAGTCCCAATTGGCTCCTCCATTGACTTCCGTATCATTATTCTAAATTTGATATGCGTACGTGCTTTTTGTAATAAAATTGTTTCATGGGAGTGTTTGACATTTTTGGTGGTTATATAATCTGCTGTGCAAAAGAATCTTCCTTTAAATCATTGACTATTTGGGCAAATTATAATAAACCACCAAGGATCACTATGGATAAGTTTCTACGTAAACATTTTTAGAAAATAAAAATAAAAATTTAAATAAATTTCTCCATAAGCTAATATTAGATTATGAATGAGTTAAAAATAAGATTTTAAAGAAGTTAATAGGAAAGAATTTCCACAAATTAACTTATGCATAAACTAATTTTAGCTTATAGAGAAGTTAGTTTCATTTTTTTCCCCTCTTTTTCTCCCCTAGAAGTCTTTTTGGAGAAGTTTACACAAACAAACGTTAATGCAGTATGTCAAGTTTGTCTTGAATCATGTTGTAGATCTCACATCCACTAGTATGACTAATATAGAGTATATAGGTGAAAACAATCCTTATCTTATAAACCGATTTTGTAGAATTAAGTTAGCTCAAAATTCAGATTTTAAGAAACCATGTAACCTGAGTCTTGATCTGGCTGGAAAAACTGCACTTGATAGTAAATCAAGTTTTCCGAACTAGATATAAAGGATGGTGTTAGTTTGGTTGGTGCTATGCCCCAGTAGATCTTGTCTGTAAAGAAAGGGACTTGATTTCCTCCTCCTTTTGAGCCTTTTAAATATTATCCACTACCTTTTAGCTTTTTGAGAATAAACGTTATTAAATATATATATTTTTCATGGAACTGGACATTCTTAAACAGTTTTCTTTCTGAATAATCAGCTCATATGCATACATAAAAACTAACGACTGCAGTCACCTGATAGTAGCTCCAATTTTTGTGGCTAAAACTATTGACTGCCGTCTAAAAGCTATCGGTTTCCTTGTAGTTTGACAATATATATATTTTCATTTCTTTTACGTTCTTTCCTTGCAATTTTCTGTGTTTATATGTTGTCTTCGGTTTAATCATTTTCATTTTTCTACTTTATTGTTTTGATTTGGTTTGGTGTAACTCGTGCAGTTTTCACACCTACGATTATGCAAGACATTTTGTTAGTGCTTGTACTCGCATCCTTGGACTTGAAGGTACCCCTTATGGGGTTGAGTATCAAGGGAAGCTAACTCGAGTTGCTGCAGTACGTGCTACAAAATTTGTCTACAAGCTCACTCTTGCTTCGTCATTTTAACAGTTTAAAAATTTTACACCAAACTTTACCTATTAAAAGAAAAGGAGGCCGAGAAAAGATACTTTTTAAAATTTCTTATTTAAGTGTGTTTGGAAGCGAATTTTCGTTCGGCTCGGAACTTGTCGCTCCAAGGTGGAAGAGCTTCCCGGCTTTGAAGGACCTCTTCCTTTCGAACTGGAAACTGGGTAAGCAACACCACTTCCCTGTTTTAGTTTCAAGATTTTGAATTTTAATTTAGTCAACTTAAAGGGCTGTTACTCTTCACACTTTGGACACTCTGGTTGTGTTGTGTGCATTTTTTGACAGTTATGTGGGATTGGGAGGAAAAGATGATGACATGCAAGTCTTTTATTACTTTGTTAAGTCAGAGAGCGATCCTCAGAAAGACCCTCTTATGCTTTGGTTGTCAGGGGGTCCTGGTTGCTCTTCATTAATGGGTCTTCTCTTTCAAATAGGTAATTATGGAAAAAAACGAGTAAATATATTTTTAGCTTTTATAATATACTTATTTCATTTTATGCTTTTATTCTTTATAAAAAAATATGATTAGTGTATTTTTTGGTTGGTTCTTATAAAATCTTATCTTATTGTTGATATTTCAAAAATTAGACCCATTATAAAATCAGTTAGGTGTTAGATCAATAGATCCGTTCCCACAACTGGAACGGGCCGTTCCCAAACTCCAAAAACACCTCTAAATTCTAGCCCCGAACGGGCCGTTCCGAAATTGGAACAGCCCG